GTGTGTGTGTGTGTGTGAGAGAGAGAGTGTGTGTGTGTGTGTGAGAGAGTGTGTGTGTGTGTGTGTGGTCCACTCATACATATTCATGTTAATCAACAAAATTCAGTCCCAAAAGTGTGTGAGAAATGGGGAAAAGCCTAAATATATTTTACAGAAGTTTTTGACACTAATATCTCTCCATAGATCTCAGTATTTTAGGCCCCTATACATTCCCGGGTCAAAATGACCCGAACAATTTAAATGGTTATATCTCTTAAAAAAGAATTGTAAAAAAATCTGAAAAAAATAAATGATGTGTATTTTGAGGATCTTAAAGCGTTTGCAAAGTTTCGTTCCCTTACTAAAAACGATGCATTTTTTAGGAATTTTTTTGTATCTCTTAAGAGCTTAAATGGTTCTTCTACACCATTTCTGGTTCTCCAAAGAAGCTCTCAGTGATCAGTTCTTAAAATAAAATGTCTTCCTAGTGTAAAGAACATTTTATTAATCTAAAAAAAACCTTTTTCCGCTCTAAAGAACCTTTAATGGTTTCATGCATGCCAATAAAGAAGCTTTATTTGTGAGTGTGCAGCACAAATGGGTTTATTGTGGAGCCCTTTGTCTCTCTGGAACACTAAAGTACTGTTACAGCGCCTCCACTTTCTGACGGATCACAGGCTGATAGTCCAGCGCTTTAGCTTCATCTTCATCATCAGTCTGTCTTTCTCTCGTCAGAGCGAGATGTTGTGTCTCAGATTCTCTGTTTGCATGATAATGTCAGCAGCTGCGTTCGTCCTTCAGTCGCTGACCTTCCTTCATCTGAGGACCGAAAGGCCTCGGCTGTGACATTATCTGACAGAGATTCCTCGGCAGAGCTTCATCATCTTCACCTGCTCCTCGAGTGTGTGACGTGTGTGACGTACGGAACGCTTCATCCTGGGTTTCAGTGTCTTTTGGCCGTCTTCTGTCTCTAAATGCACCACGTTTAGACACACCTCTAATGTGAAACCCTAAAATGAAAAGAAAGAAATAAGAAATCATATTGGCCTATTTTTATAATCATTATGCTTGTGTGTTTGTGCTTACATTTTTTTCATGACAAATTCTCAACATAACATAAAATGTTTAAAAGATAGATTGTTGATTCACTTCACAAGCTGTCAGATTAAATCAGTTTAACATAAGTTTTAAACAGATTTCTATTTCCGCCGATGGAATCTTCAGCGTTTCATTTGCATACTGAGCTCTGATTGGTCTAAAACCTGAACGTGCGTTTAAAGCCGAGGAATCTCTGCCGTGTGTTTGTCCTTCAGCTCGTCATCGCTGTATCTTCATCTGACCTCAAACACGCCAGCAAAGACAAAACAACACTCGCTTACGTCTGATTCGTGAAGAAACCACAAAACCCCTTTTTTTTCTTGCAATTCCGAGTTAATGTCTTTACAGTTTTGGTCCCAATTCTGATAAAAACAAATCCGATATTAACAAAAACTATAATAGTATGTCACTGATATTAAATAGTGGATATTATAGCGATGAGCTGTGGGTGTGTATGTTGGTCTGACCTTAAAACACACACACACACACACACACACACACACAAAATAGCATTGTGACGAGAGGGGCGGACTGCTCGTGGTTTCTGTGTTTATTTTCTGGCCTGATTTTGGGAGAAAATCTGAAAATCTTGATGAAATTCAGGAGGACATTTCTGAGAGCTAGTGCTTCTGCTCCCGAATGTCATTTGAGATTGTTTGTTTATGTGTTTGATTCCTATTACCCGTCTTTCCGTTCATTATTAATGTCGTCATGATGATGTGGTTTGCATTGATTGTTGATCGATGTGTGTGTGTGTGACTCATGCGCCGCTTCTTCTTGTTCCTCTCAGGATGCGGCTCCGTTCCAGGTAGCGTTGCAGGATGACCGCCGGATGCTGCTGTCGCTGGATGCTGATGATGTGAGGCCCGACGTGTCTGTGTATTCGGTGCGTGTTTCAGGAGAGCCGCACACGCACACGCTGCTGTTCACGCGACCCGCCGACGGTCAGACGCTGCCGCATCCGCTCCAGTTCAACGCCTCGTACCACGGCCTGTGCTACTCCATCAGTCTGATGCTCGGGAACGACAGCAGAGCATCCAGAGCCGTCAGAACCGTCCCTGTGCTCACCAGTAAGACATCTGCTACACATGTGTGAAAATAATGCATCAAAATATAAAAAACATTTACAATGAAAGAGATAAAAAAAACTAAAGATATAAATTAAATAAAATAGGCAGTAGTCATTAATAAATCTAATTTAAACATTTATTAAAAAAAATAATTAAAATAGGCAGGCAGTAGTAATTAATAAATCATATTAAAACATTTATAAATAAATTATTAAATAAAAATATAAATAAATTAAATTAGGCAGTAGTAATTAACAATTAAATAAATAAACATTTATAAATGAATTAATAAATAAAATGAATACACATTAAAATAGTCAGTAGTAAAAATAAAACATAAAAATTATAAATACATTAAAATAGGCATTAATAAATAAAAATTTAATATTTATAAATGTTATTAAATAAAAATGATAAATTAAAATAGGCAGTAATAATTAATAAATGTAATTAAAGTAATGATATATACACTAATAAATAAATATATTAAATACATAAAAATAGGCAGTAATAAGTAATAAATAAAACATTTATAAATACATAAATAAATAAAAATAATACATTAATAAGGCCGTAATAATTAATAAATATAAATAAAATATTGATAAATGAATAAATAAAAATAATAAATATATTCAATATAATAACTAATAAAACTGTTTGCAGTAGGAAATAGTATACAAAAATAAAACGGATAAATAAATAATAAAAAAAATAAGCATTTTATATTTAAAAAATGGACATTCGTTTTAATTAATTAATTAAAAAAAAAAGTTAAAAGTAAAAATCAGCTAAGTTGTGGTACTGTTGCTGTGGTATAAACGGACTTACATCATGATATAGTAGTATTTTAGTCAGACCACTTTTATCCACTTTTAACTATTTTGTTTTCAGTAACAGTTTTAAGTCAGAACAGAGTGTCTTTATTCTCATTACAACAAAAAGTAATTGATTTTTCAGTCTCCTGTTTCTCCAGTTTGATAAATCAGTGAACTGTGTGTGTGTTCAGAGCCTCTTCCTCTAGACAGCGTTGAGATCTCTGATTACGGTCCGGCTCCAGAGACCGGCGTGGTGTTTCAGATCCGTTCTCCAGACAGGAACATCTACACGAGAGTAAACATCAGCTACATGGAGGGCCGTCAGCCACGCTACATGCTGTATAAAGGTTTCTGTGTGTGTGTGTTATGCCTGTGTTATGTGTGTGTGTTATGTGTGTGTGTGTTTCTATGTGTGTTATGTGTGTGTTACGCGTGTGTGTTTCTGCGCGTGTTTTGCATGTGTTAAGTGTGTTTCTGTGTGTTGCATATGTGTATTATGCGTGTGTTTCTGCATGGTACACATGTGTTATGTGTGTGTGTTTCTGCGTGTTATGTGTGTTCCGCGTTTGTGTTAACCGCATCATGTGTGTTTCTGTGTGTTACTCGTGTGAGTTTTTGTGTGTTATGTGTGTGTTTCTGTGTTACGCATGTGTTATGTCTGTGTGTTTCTGCGTGTTCCGTGTTTGTGTTACCTGCATGTTACACGTGTGTTTCTATGTTACGCATGTGTTATGTGTGTGTGTTTCTGCGTGTTATGCGTGTTCCGTGTTTGTGTTACCCGTGTGTTACGCATGTGTGTTTCTGCGTGTTACTCGTGTGAGTTTTTGTGTGTTATGCATGTGTTTCTGCGTGTTACATATGTGTTATGTCTGCGTGTTATGCATGATCCGCATTTGTGTTACGCATGTGTGTTTCTGCGTGTTACGCATGTGTTATGTGTGTGTGTTTCTGCATGTTATGCATATTCCGCATTAGTTGCCCGCGTGTTACGCATGTGTTTTATAGTGTGTTACACGTGTGTTACTTATGTGAGTTTTTGTGTGTGTTACGCATGTGTGTTTCTGCGTGTTACGCATGTGTTTAATAGTGTGTTACACGTGTGTTACTTATGTGAGTTTTTGTGTGTGTTATGCATGTGTTTCTGCATATTACGCGTGTGTGTGATTCTGCGTGTTACGCACATGTTACGCATGTGTGTTTCTGTTTGTTGTGCACATGTGTGTGTGTTCGTCACGGCTGAACTCGGACTCTCTCTATCTCTGCAGATTTCTTCAAAGGGAAGACAGTGTTCAAGCACTGGCTGTCGGGCACGTGTTACACCAACATCAGCTTCCAGCTGGTCTCAGAGGCCACGGTCAACAGGAGCACGCTGGTGAGCCACAGTGACGTTACCCATGAGCCCCTGCGCCACCGCACCGGTACGACTCATTCAGGCTCTTCTGTCAGCCGTCATGTGATCATAAGCTCTAAATTCACCTTTAAATGACCTTTAATTAGCGCTGGAACGACTGGTTAGAGCTGGAGCAGGCAGTGCACGAGCCTCGTTAATTATTGATGGAAACCCCCCAGATTCACTAATTAATGAAACCTGTCAGCCGTTTGAGTGCATTTCACCCTGAAATCAAAGAAAATGTTAAGAATTTTTACTTTGCCTGAAGAATTTATATTTTTATAATTTTGGTTAAATATGATAAATGGTGTTTGTTCTGTGTGTTAATTTCACATGTCCAGTCCCGAATCCTCCTCTCAACGTGTCGCTCAAGATCATCCACCTCAGCAGCCGAGGAGCATCTGGATCTGACCTGCACGCGGCTGTTCTGAAGGCTTCCCACAATGCATCAGTCCTTCGGCGGGCACGTGACATTCCTGCGGCTGAAGAACAGGAAGAGGAAGTGAACGGTGAGGAGATGAGCATCACACAGATGCCGCTGAACGAGTCCGTCACCATCTACAGCAGCACAGCCGAACCCGCGCCTGACAACAGCACTGAGCCGCTGTGGGCGGAGCCGACGGGAAGCTCCGCCCCCACAGAGGAGGAGGAGTTTGTGAATGCACTGATGCCAGAATATGAGGACTCTAATGAGCCAGGGTCAGCGATGGACGTGACCTTTGAAGCCAATGTGATGCTCACGCCGCTGCCGCCCATCCTGCTGGAGCTGCGCTGGTTACCGCCGCGGCCGCCCACCGCGTTCGATGGATTCAACATCTACATCTACCGCGATGGTGAGAATCATCACGTGTTTTACACAGCAAAAAACAATTATGTTTGTGTAAACCCTTTGTAAATTAATTTCTGTGTTTATTTCCTTGTTGTTTGACCAGGAAACTCCACCAAAACAGCCAGCGATAATAGGCAGTAATAAAAATAAGTAAAATCTTTGTAAATAAATTCCTCTGTTCTTTTCCTCAGGAAACTCCACCGAAACGGCGACGGTGGATGAGAACACACACGAGTTCTTCACCGAGCTCTCCGAAGCAGGAACGTATAGCGTTCACGTCACGACGCTCAGTTCGTCTGGAGACTGCGAGGCCCGAGAGAGTTCAGCCGACACCGGATTCACCTTCTACCTGAGTACGAGCGTGTGTGTGTGTGTGTGTGTGTGTGTGCGTGAGTGTGTGTGTGTGTGTAAGCCGCGAGTCATGTGTGTGTTTGTGTGTGTGTGTGTATGTGTGTGTCATGTGTGTGAGTGTGTGTGTGTGTGTGAGTGTGTAAGTGTGTAAGTGTGTGTGTGTGTGCGTGTGTGCGTGAGTGTGTGTGTGTAAGCCGCGAGTCATGTGTGTGTTTGTGTGTGTGTGTGTGTGTGTGTGTGTGTGTGTATGTGTGTGAGTGTGAGTGTGTGTGAGTGTGTAAGTGTGTGTGTGCATGTAAGTGCGTGTGTGTGTGTGTGTGTGTCGTGTGTGTGTAAGCCGCGTGTCATGTGTGTGAGTGTGTGCGCGTGTGTGTGTGTGTGTGTCATGTGTGTGTAAGCCGTGTGTCATGCGTTAGTGTGTGTGTGTGTGTGTGTAAGCCGTGTGTCATGCGTGAGTGTGTGTGTGTGTGTGTGAGTGTGTGAGTAAGCCGCGTGTCGTGTGTGTGTAAGCCAAGTGTCATGCATGAGTGTGTGTGTGTGAGTGAGTGTGTGTCTCGTGTGTGTGTAAGCCACGTGTCATGTGTGTTTGTGTGTGAGTGAGTGTGTGTGAGTGTGTGAGTAAGCCAAGTGTCATGCATGAGTGTGTGTGAGTGAGTGTGTGTGAGTGTGTGAGTAAGCTGCGTGTCGTGTGTGTGTGTGTGAGTGAGTGTGTGTGTCGTGTGTGTGTAAGCCAAGTGTCATGCATGAGTGTGTGTGAGTGAGTGTGTGTGTCATGTGTGTGTGTAAGCCGCGTGTCATGTGTGTGTGTGTGTGTGTGTTTGTGTGTCAGGTCCGGCGGGTGAGTGGATGGAGCAGCCGCTGGAGCGTCCGCAGGAGGTCAGTGTGAAGATGCTGGACTCCAGCACGGCTGCTGTGTCCTGGGCTCCGTCTCGTCACAGATATAACGGCAGTCTGATCTCGGTGCTGTCGCTCACCTGTCTGCGGCCCAGCATCAGCCAGCGCATGGAGAACACCTACTGCTCCGAGGTACGGATCACTCACCTGATGTTGTATGTCAAATATGCAGATTTCACCAGTTCATTCAGCCGATCAGAACACTGCAGACTGATACCACTTCAACTCTATCAGCGTCAACAAAACGTTTTTTTTAGAGGAAGCTGCATACATGTAGGCTACGGGAAAGAGCGAAGACGTTGAATTAAACACACACACGATCAGCTTTACCACATGTTTATACTGGCCCCGATAATCAAAACTATTCATTCAGCCGATCAGAACACTGCAGACTGATACCACTTCAACTCTATCAGCGTCAACAAAACGTTTTTTTAGAGGAAGCTGCATACATGTAGGCTACGGGAAAGAGCGAAGACGTTGAATTAAACACACACACGATCAGCTTTACCACATGTTTATACTGGCCCCGATAATCAAAACTTCTACTTAGCGCTTGCTCAATTTCTGCAGATCAGTTTTTGTGAATGAACGACTCGATCCACCTGTTGCTTTGGTCTTCATGAACATCCGCTGGCGCCACCTGCTGGTGAGCGACCGACAGCAGCTGCAGCTCCACGAAGTTTCTGTCGAATTTTAACCACTGAATTTGTGAAAGCGAATCTGAAAAGTCAAATAAAATGGACCGGAATTTGCCTGTCGAATATTGTACATCGTATTTTTAAACAGATCGTATATTTTGGAGGTGAATTCTGGAAGGTGAATATGAATTACTGAAATTTTAATTACGAATTCAAATATTCACAGCTTAAATAAACAACTATGTTAAATTTCAGGACCTAAAAATGCAAGCACTGTTAATGCAATGCATAATTTTTTCAGTTAGTGCTATTCAACGTTTTTAGACATATGGCATTATTTTTCTTCCATACAAATATATTACAAAAAATATATATATATACATACAGTATATGCATTTCTAAATAAAAACAACACAATAAATAGTGCTATCGTAATATTTCACTGTAAAATTAAAATATTTTGTATTACTGTTATATTACAATACATCGAACCCTCACCAGACACCAGTTTAATGTCAGTGGTTTAGCTGTAAAAGTGTTTCGTTGTCACGTGACCCGCTCTCCGCTCTCTGATAGGAGAACATCACCAGTGACATCATCATCAGCAGCCTGACCCCCGGCGCTCAGTACAGAGTGCTGGTTTATCACACGAACGGGCCGCTGGTTAGTCCCCCGTCTGAACCAATCATCATCGACATCGGTGAGTGAGTGAGTGAGTGAGTGCATATATAATGAGCATGCATGATGAAGCTCCGCCCCCTGACTGACCGTGCTCTGTGATTGGCTGCTGGTGTGTCAGAGCCGACAGGTGTGCGTGATCTGGTGGTTTATCCGCTCAGTCCCAGCGCTGTCATCCTCAGCTGGCGGCGGCCGTATAACGTGGCCTTCAGAAAGTACATCCTACAGACCTTCTTCTTCAACTCGGCCACGCAGACGTCTCAGTGGAGCACTTACTACGAGATCGCCTCCACCGCGTCCGTCATCGCCTCTGTGGTAGCCAGCGAGCCACGACACACAGAAGAGTCTCAAAAGAGGCGTCTGAATCAAACATAAGGCTTTAAATGCCATAACAAAACTCTCAGCACTGTGAGAGGTCTTAAATTCAAAATAAGAGTCCCTGTGCATTTCGGGCTTGTCTGTGATTAAAAGTCCCAAATTATGCACGAAATCTTTTTTCTCGATATTATTGGTATTTTGACACTTTATGTGGCGTTTAAACTCGCTCTGAAAATTCAGTTTGTAGATTTTACTTTTATTGGCACAATAATCAGCAGAATTATATATCAATAAACCAGCTGATCAGTAGAGATGCTGAGTGTGATGAGAAATACTGCCTGACTATTACAGTCATGTTTACTGCGCTGTGGTCCTCAGAGAGTGACGGATCTGCTGCCGGCCTGGTTCTATCAGTTCCGCGTGACGATGGAGACGTGGTCCGAGCCTGCGCTGGTCTGCTGCGACGCTTCCACCGTCAGCTTCGTCACAGGTGCGCCGGTCACATGACCTCTGACCCGACCCGTGTCACTCACTCACTAACCAACCTGTGTGTGCTCGCCAGCTCCCGAAGCGCCTCACATCTCGACGGTGGAGTACTCTCACGGGACGCTGTTCGTGCGCTGGACCTACGGCGATCTGTTCACCGATCTCTCGCACTCACGCTTGCTGCACTGGCAGCTGACGGCCGAGGCGAAGAAGAGCGCGAGGAGACGCTACTCCATCCACGTGAGTCTCGGCAGCAAAGCCTGCTACATGAGCATCACCGCCACAAGCAGCTGCGCATTATCAACAGGTGTAGAGCAAGTACACTACATAAGAACAAGACGACTGTGTTTAGGTGCGATGTCTTCACATTCCATTGGTTTCCAGCAGTGTTATTGATTTGCTATTATGGTTTCATTTTAATTTTTAGTAGTTTTAGTACATTTGTTGTGTTTTTTTGTCATATTTATTAGTTTTTGGAGTATTTTAATGTCTGACTAATTTTTTATTACGTTTTAGTTTTTGTTATGTTTTCATATTTATTCGTTTTTTATGTCTGAATAAATTTTATTATTTTTTGTTGTTTTAATATATTTTTTGTTTAATTTAAATTGTAGTAGTTTTAGTAAATTTGTTATGTTTTCATATTTATTAGTTTTTTTAATGCCTGAATAATTTTTATTTCATTTTAGTTTTAGTAGTTTTATTAAATGTATGTTTTTTCATATTTATTAGTTTTTGGAGTTTTTTTTATGTCTGAATAATTTTTTACTAAGTTGTAGATTTTAGTTTTTGTTATTTTTTCATATTTATTAGTTTTTTTTATGTCTGAATAATTTTTATTATTTTTTGTTGTTTTCATATATTTTTTGTTTAATTTAAATTGTAGTAGTTTTAGTAAATTTGTTATGTTTTCATATTTATTAGTTTTTTTAATGCCTGAATAATTTTTATTTCATTTTAGTTTTAGTAGTTTTATTAAATGTATGTTTTTTCATATTTATTAGTTTTTGGAGTTTTTTTTATGTCTGAATAATTTTTTACTAAGTTGTAGATTTTAGTTTTTGTTATTTTTTCATATTTATTAGTTTTTTTTATGTCTGAATAATTTTTATTATTTTTTGTTGTTTTCATATATTTTTTGTTTAATTTAAATTGTAGTAGTTTTAGTAAATTTGTTATGTTTTCATATTTATTAGTTTTTTTAATGCCTGAATAATTTTTATTTCATTTTAGTTTTAGTAGTTTTATTAAATGTATGTTTTTTCATATTTATTAGTTTTTGGAGTTTTTTTTATGTCTGAATAATTTTTTACTAAGTTGTAGATTTTAGTTTTTGTTATTTTTTCATATTTATTAGTTTTTTTTATGTCTGAATAATTTTTATTATTTTTTGTTGTTTTCATATATTTTTTGTTTAATTTAAATTGTAGTAGTTTTAGTAAATTTGTTATGTTTTCATATTTATTAGTTTTTTTAATGCCTGAATAATTTTTATTTCATTTTAGTTTTAGTAAAAAAAAAATTTGTTATATATAAATTTTTTTTAAAATGTTTTTTTCTGTTTTGTCTGAATAATTTTAGTTTTTAGTTCGTGTTATTTTAGTTCTTCAGCTTTAAACAAAAATAAGAATGAGGAGGAGTGGCCTCGGCGACTTGCTGAAATAAAACAAGTTAGTTAATCTTTATTTCTAGTCATATATTTATGGTCTTAGCTTTATCTGTTTTCCGTGGACATTTTCTTTCCTTTTTTTCATGTGATATTTATTTTGCTCAAACCACCCATACATTAATCAAATAAATTAAATAAATATAATAATTTTAAAAGCTACATATGTATATATACATGAGCAGATTAGATATTCACTTATTATAGTGTTATTTTAAACATATGTAATTTATATAAAAAATTATGTATATTGTATACATGAAGAATCACAATCAAGTTATTACATTAAATGATGCCCATCTTTTTATTTTTTAATCTTAAATTGTATTTATTATTAATAAGATTATAATTATAATGTTTAAAGTAGCTAGTGATTTAAGACTCGGAGACTCATGAGGTTGCGCCGTTAGCCTGTAATGAATCTAATTACCCAGCGCACACACATTTCTCTCACGGTTAATTAGCGACGGCTGAATGTTTCCACACACACACACACGGAGCCCAGCTGAGATGCATTACACGGATCTCTCCACTGAAGCCTGTGTGAATGTGCAGTGTCGCCATGGAGACGGTTGCTATGGGATCAGACTCATCGCTGCGCCTGACGACTGTGTTTCAGGTGACCCGCAACATGATGAAGGCGTCTCTGGCTCTTCCTCCCGGAGACATCTACAACCTGACCGTGTCCGCCTGCACCGAGACGAGCCGCAACACGTCTGCGCCGCACATCATCAAACTCGGTCAGTGGCAAGTGAATGGGTGCCGTCAGAACGAGAGCTGATAAAAACATCACAATAATCCACAGCACTCAGTGAACATCTGGAGAAGACGAAAGCTGGGACAAATCCAGCATCAAGACGCTTTTAACTAAAATACATTGAGTCTATAATCCATAATAACTCTTCCTCCAGTGAAAAAGTGTTTTGGTGTGAATCAGGAGAGAAATCTGCACAGATCAAGCAGCGTTTAAACAGCTCTAAACACATATGTGAGATACAACAGATGCACTTTTTTCACTGGAGGAAGAGTTATTATAGACTATGTATTTTAGTTAAAAGCGTGTTGATGCTGGATTTGTTTCAGCTTTCGTCTTCTCCGGATGTTCACTGAGTGCTGTGGATTATTGTGATGTTTTCATCAGCTCTTGTTCTGACGGCACCCATTCACCGCAGAGCATCCATTGCTGAGACATTTCTCCAAACCTGATGAAGAAACAAACTCATCCTGATCTCTTCCTTTAGTGAATGTGAAGTCGGAGCTGTTCGCACAATCAAGTCCAAAACTAAAAGCGCTCCTCGTTTACTGCTGAGTGTGTGTTTTCTGTTCTCGTAATAACTTCCCGTTCAGACGCTGTCAGGACTGTCGTGGCTGCTCCCTTTTTATTCTAGTTGTTTTTAAGCTGTCTTCTTGTAAGTAGTGTGGCGTTTGGCTGTTTTGCGAACAGAACCGGCTCCTCCGAAGTCGCTGTACGCGGTCAACGCCACCGACGCGGCCGTCACGCTGCTCTGGACGGAGGACGGCGTCGTGGACTTCTACCAGATCGTCTGCAGACCGCTGCGAGTCAACAGAGAGAGCAAAGTAAGAGCTGCTGATCAATATCATAACCACACGTGTGTGCGCAAACATCTGGAGATGCAGATTGTGATGGAGGTTCTTTATGGTTCTGTGTGTGATGATGAAAGCAGGAGGAATCTGTGCACTATAACTCCGTAACAATTTACAGCCAGGTTTCATTTGTTAACATCAGTTACTACACTGAACTGAGGAGGAGCGATGCTTCTACAGGAACATTAAACATTAGTCAGTGCACTGAGAACCAACATAAACAATCAACTACTGTATTATTAACTAACATTAACAAAGAGTAATTTAATAATAATAATAATAATATAATAATAATAATAAAAACAATACTAATAAATACAAATATAATAATAATAATAAAATAAATAAATGAATAAAAAAATATATAATAATAATAAAATAAATAAATAATATAAATAACAATATAATAATAATAATAAAAATTATAATAAAATTAATAATAACAAATAATATATCATAATAATAACAAATAATAATAATAATAAAAATAACAAAAACATTAATAATAATAAACAATGATAAAATTAATATAATAATAATAATAATAAAACAACAACAACAACAAATAATAATAATAATAATATAAAAATATAATACTAATAATAAAATAATAATATAAATAACATAATAATAATAATAATAATAATAATAACAAATAATATTATAATAACAATAATAATAAACAATGATAAAAATTTATATAATAATATAACAATAATAATAATAAACATAATAATAAACAATTATATAATAATAATAATAATAAAAAACAATAATCAGATGTTCATTGTTAGTTCATGTTAGATAATGCATTAATTAAATATAACAAACAATTAATTTATTCACGATTCATAATTCATTAACACTTTACAGTAAGGTCCTACTAGTTAATGCAACGCAAACTAACATTAGCAGCGAGCAACACATTTGTTACAGTATTTATTAATCTTTGTAAAAAAAATAGTGCTGTCAAATCGATTAATCGCATCCAAAATCCAAAAGTTTGTGTTTACATAATATATGTGTATATATAAATACACACACACACTTGTATATATTTAAGAAATATTCATATTCATATTATACATAAATACACACATATATTATGTAAACAAACTTTCGCGATTAATCAATTTGACAGCACTATTAAAAATGCAGCTGTTTATTGTTAATTAGCTCACGTTAGCTCAGTTACATAATAATATTATAAAATAATGTTTGATTTTAATAACGTATTGTAACAAATGTGAAGTGTTACTGATGTGTTGTGATGTATTTCCGGATCCCGTCGCTTTAAAGCCTCAGCCTTCATCAGAATGGCAGCAGTGCATTGTGGGATCGAGGCTCATCGTGTGTGTGTGTGTGTGTGTGTGTGTGTGTGTGGTTCAGAAGGCGCGCGAGCCGCTGCTCACCGCCGCTCGTGTCGTGACCGTGTCAGGACTGCAGCCGTCCTCTTCGTACAACTGCAGCGTGATCAGCAGCAGCTACAGCAGCGCCAGTGAGCCGGCGTTCATCACCGTCAGCACATCCGGTGAGGACAGCTTTCACACACTGCGCTGCCGCTAAAACAAGGAGCACACAGACACATTAGACCACATACGACACATAACACAACAGCACAGGACTGCAAGCACAAGGAGACTAAGTAGGGCAGGTAACGAGGGAGACACAGGTGGAATAACTGATACAATAATGAGGTAACAAGATGGGCGAGGTCAGACAATCGACAGAAATTGTGAGAAATAAAGTTGCAGTTATGAGAAATAAAGCCAGAATCACTAGATATAAACTCATTAATGCAAGAAAATAAAGTTGCACTGATTAGAAATAAAGTCGGAATTGAAAGATATAAACTCTTAATTGTGACTTTTTTTCCTCAGAATTGTAATTTGCGATTCTGACTTCACAACACACGCAGTTGCGAGTTTACATCTTACAACAGAAGTCAGGATTGCGAGATGTGAACTCTGCAAATGCCTCGTTTTTTCATTCAGCAGCGGAAATGAGCTTTCATTGTTCTGAGCTCTGTTTCTCTCAGACTCAAGAGTTCAGTGTTTCAGTGAATGTAGCTGTAGTGTGTGTGTGTGTGTGTGTGTCTGTGTGTCTGTGTGTCTGTGTCTGTGTCTGTGTGTGTGTGTCAACAGACAGAGAGACGTCAGAGACACTGACTGCATGACGCGATCATTAACCTGTCACTAATGAAATATGCTCAATCATCTGTGTGTGTCACTATTACTAATGAAGCACCGTGTTTTGTCCCCAACTTTTTGCTCTTGGTCTTTTGCTTTCTGTTTTGTTCAATGGGCTTCAGGCGCAGGAGTCTCTTTGCGTTCCTCACGCTTCTGCCGTCCTGCCTTTGGACTGACTATCTTTTGGCCTTTTATATGAATCCGTGGTAAGTAGCAGCGCAGCGGCCGACAGACAGACAAACACATAGCTGCTGTGCATTATGGGTATCGGATGCATGACACTAAGGCTCTGCATGACGTCTTCACCGCTCGTTCTCACCTCCTGCATGTTTGCTCTAGCTCCGCGATGCTGTGTCGGACTGAATGCAGATTTATAAATGTGTGCGTGTGCGCTTCCTCTTCTGATAGCTTGATTTCCTGAATATATATTTATATAATTATTTAAAAATAATAAATACTAAATGTAATGTTTATATAAATTATCTCATTTTAATTGCCTTTATATATACAGTGGGTACGGAAAGTATTCAGACCCCCTTAAATTTTTCACTCTTTGTTATATTGCAGCCATTTGCTAAAATCATTTAAGTTAATTTTTTTTCCTCATTAATGTACACACAGCACCCCATATTGACAGAAAAACACAGAATTGTTGACAATAATAACCTTATTAAATCTAATAAAAATATTAACAAAACCGGTAATACTTTACAATAAGGTTTCAATTTTACTTTTAATTAACTATGTATTTTTATGCATTTATTAATCTTAGTTCAAGACTTACTAATACATTATTAAAATGTAAAGTTGTATCATTAATGTAAAAGATTTATAAAGATAAAGATTAATAAATGCAGCTTCATGTTAGTTAATGCATTAACAAGTGTTAACAAATGAGACCTTACTGTAAAGTGTTTATATGATATTATCATATTATTATTATTATAATTTGTCAAATAAATTCAGTTGCAATGCAGAATACACACAGAAATGAAGGAGACCAAATGCAAATACAGTTATAAATGTGGATCTTTTTTAAAGTTAATCTTGCATGAAAAGTAATTTCATAAAAATCTATTTAAATTTTTTTTACATGAATTTTTATAAATTTTTTAAAATACTATAAATCCTCCCAAAACTGCACAAATGCAGAGGAAAAACATTAATAAAATGTGAGATATTACATTTGTTTAGAATTATAAAATGATTTACTATAGTCTTTAAAGAAGATGTCCTTAATTATTATAAATATAGTATCAGATTTTTACATATTTATTCCAAATACATATGAAAATAGTGGCCAGTGGAGCTCTTTTTCACTAGTGTTTATTGATTTTTCTCTCTTCGGTATTGTGAGTAATTTAGTTCTTCAGTGCAAATTTGGCTATTAAATAAGCTTTAAAAAATCATGAAGTTCAAGAGAGGTTCTTACTAAAGATCAGCTTCTCTCAGAGAATGAGTGATTGTTATATTCATCCTGAATGTTTGTTTGGTCACAGATGATTTCAGTCGAGTGAAGCTGATCTCTCTGCACAACGATGAAGGCTCGGATTACATCAATGCAAACTTTATTCCTGTGAGTAGCTCAGCAGTGTCAGCGATTAGAGTCGAGTCGTTCACAGGTTACTGGGTGTCTCATTTGGGTGGTGGTGTGTGTTCAGGGTTATAACTCTCCGCACGAGTTCATCGCCACGCAGGGGCCGCTGCCCGAGACCAGGAACGATTTCTGGAAGATGGTCCTGCAGCAGAAGTCTCACATCGTCGTCATGCTGACCCAGTGTAACGAGCGCAGGAGGGTCAGTTCCCGCGGCAACCGCTCCGTTATCGCTATGACACCACACAGAGACGGGCAGATGTTAACGAGAGCATGTGCTTCCTGTGCAGGTGAAGTGTGACCACTACTGGCCGTTCACCGAGGAGCCCGTGGCGTACGGAGAGATTACGGTCGAGATGCTGTCGGAGACCGACTCGCCTGAGTGGACTGTCAGAAACTTCAGACTGGGATACGTGAGGAACATAACTAACCATAACTAACCATGATGGATGGATGGATGGGTGGATGGGTGGATGGATAAATGGATGGATGGATAAATGGATGGATGGATGGGTGGGTGGATGGATAAATGGATGGATGGATGGGTGGGTGGATGGAAAGATGGATGGATAAATGGATGGATGGTTGGATGGGTGATAGATGGATGGATGGATGGATGGGTAGATGATAGATGGGTGGATGATGGATGGATGGATGGATAAATGGATGATGGATGGGTGGGTGGATGATAGATAGATGGATGATGATAGATGGATGGGTGGATGGATGGATGGGTGGGTGGATAGATGGATGGATGGGTGGGTGGATGGATGGATGGATAAATGGATGGATGATAGATGGATGGATGGGTGGATGATGGATGGATGGGTGGGTGGATGGATAAATGGATGGATGGATGGATGGATGGGTGGGTGGATGGATGGATGGATAAATGGATGATGGATGGATAGATGGATGGATGGATGGATGGGTGGATGATGGATGGATGGATATATAGACAGATGTTGTGAAGAGTCTGTTTCTGTCTGATGTTCTGTGTGTTTCTGATTCTGCAGGCTGATGAAACTCAAGACGTTTTGCACTTTAATTACACCTCGTGGCCTGATCACGGCGTGCCGACAGTCAACGCCATTGAGAGCATCTTACAGTTCGTTCAGATTGTACGGCAGCAGGTCAGCAGGACCAGAGGACCCATCGTGGTCCACTGCAGGTGAGTCTCTGTCAGTGTGTGAGAGTCTGTGCTACAGGAGTCATTCCGGCTCACTGGACTCCAGTTACAGTGCCCGGAATCACTGCGGCTCACTGCCATCTATTGATTTCCTGCTTGTGGTGTTGCTTCAGCTCTTCACTAATGTTACAGTGGGATGATGGAACAGACACTGGTGTGTGTGTGTGTGTGTGTGTGTGTGTGTGTGTGTCAGTGCTGGAGTGGGCCGGACCGGCACCTTCATCGCTCTGGACCGGCTGATGCAGCACATTCAGGAACACGAGTATGTGGATGTCCTGGGCCTGGTGTCGGACATGCGCTCGCACCGGCTCTCCATGGTCCAAACCGAGGTACAGAACCTGAACCAGATCCAGAACCAAAAACTGAACCAGAACCGGAATCAGATCCAGAACCAAAAACTGAACCAAACCCTGAATCAGATCCAGAACCAAAAACGGAACCAGATCCAGAACCTGAACCAGATCCAGAATCAAAAACTGAACCAGGGACCGAACTCATGAATAACACTCTTTTGAACTGCTGTTTTCTTTTAGAAAAATACCTTTGTATTCTTATATAAGATTGTTCTTAAGACAAAACTGAATAATAATTCAAATTCTTCAAAAGAATCTTCTTAAAAATCATTATAAATAGCCTCTTAAAGTTAGAATAACATCCAATTTGTCTTAAATCCTCAAATGTGAGATTAAATTGCTGTAATTAAACATAACAACATAACACTAGATACATATTTCTGCTACTAGTGATTATGATGGAAAATGCAGTGCGTACAGCTTCTTGGAAAGCTTGTTTCCACCACCGGATAAAAAGATAAATTTTACTTTTTTTCTCACAATTTATAATTGCAAGAAAAAAGTCAGAATTGTGAGATTAAAAGTCTTAAAATGTTTTATTTTTTAATCTGTGGTAGAAAGGAAAAAACTGAATTGCAAGATATGAAGTCAGAATACTGATATAAACTCAGAATTGTTAGATATAAAGTTAAAATAGCAGATATTGGATTCCATTTGAATCCAGCCCTGGAACGGTATTCATGTGTGTGTGTGTGTGTGTGTGTGTGTGTGTGTGTGTGTGTGCAGGAGCAGTACGTGTTCATCCATCAGTGTGTCCTCCTCATGTGGAAGAAGAAGAAGCAGCAAACGCACACGAGCGACGTCATCTACGAGAACGTCAGCAAGTCCTAATGAAGTGAGACCTCCAAATTAAGTTTCCTGTGAAAAATCAGCCGATCCTGAGCAGTGTCTGTGTTATGAATTCGTTTTTATTTTTATATTTTCCATTTGATTTTAAAGTTTTAATAATTTTATTGTGTTTTTCTGAATTTTCTGTCTACATAGTTTCTATTAATTTAGATTTCACTTTTAGTGTTATTTTAGTACATCAAGTTAAACTAATCGAAAGTGAACATTGCTGCCTGGCCATCTAGCTGAAAAAAAAGTTACGTTTTTATTAGGGATGCTCATTATGGTTAATTTTCCCAGATGGATGGATAGATGGATGGATGGGTGGGTGGATGGATAGATGGATGGATGGGTGGGTGGATGGATAGATGGATGGGGGATGGATGGATAGATGGATGGGGGG